GAGAGGTCTAATGAGATCCTGGGCCTTGCTCCCAACCCAACTTGTTCCCCCCTCTTTGGAGTGACCCCAGGTGGAGTAACCCTCAGGCTGGAGCCAGGCAGGACCTGCCTGGGGCTCACTGAGGCTGCCTCTACCTGTCTGAGTTTGAGGTGAGTCATTTCCTTCCTCTGCTGGTATGAAGCTGGGAGGGGAAGGGAGGGGGTGACACCTAAAAATAGCAGGGCCCAGACTTAGTGATACCCAAAGAGCTTCTCCTTGGGCGAGGGAGGAGCCAGCTTCTCAGCCAAGCTGACACCGGCTCTGGCCCCCAGACACACGCCCGCCCAGCCGAGGAGGAGCATGACCTGAGACCCCGAAAGTCAGACTCATGCCTCATGCCTGGGCCCCTCCCCGCCCCGGGCTCCGCATCGGGCGCTGAGATGTGGAGGAAGCACCTTGAAGGCTGAGACACAGGAGCGGTGTTGGGGTGGGTGGGGTGGAGTTTGAAGAGAAGAGAGGCCTCCAGCAGACAGGGCCTGGGAGGGGCAGGAGGGTATACAATTTTGTTTTGTTGTTGTTTGTTTGTTTTTTTACAATTTGAAGGCTTGACCCTCACTGAGGTTAGCAGAGGGACAGGGGCTAGACCCCTCCCACATAATCTCCACAGAACCACGTTGACTCCCCACCCCACCCCCACACAGACACACTTGGGGACACACAGACACAGCCCTCACACTCAGCCTGCCTGTGTGAATCACTTCCTCCTAATAGGACTCATCTCCCTCCTCAGTGGGACTCAATTTCCCTACTCAGCAACATAGACTGAGGGCCTACTGTGTGCTGGAGCCACACCCTGGAAACCAAGGAAGCAATGCTCACGACTGCCCCTGGCCTGGGGGACACCTTCGGAGGCACATTCCGGAAAGGACAAGACCACACCCAGAAACTCTAGCAGCAGGAAGGCCCGTGCGGGGGGACAGTGTGGAATCAGGCAGACCTGGGTTTAAATACCGGCACTGCCATTTCTGGCCACGTGACCTGAGACAAGTTATTTGGCCTCTCCCTGCCTCAGTTTCCGCATCTATATAATGGATGCCGTATAAGTCTTTCATCACATGTCAAAGACAATAATCTCCCACAGCAAACAGAGCTCTTTACCTGAATGCTCATGGTATGAGGCTATCAACTTTTTAAAAAATATTTTTAATGTGTTTTTTATTGATTTCTGAGAGGAAGGGAGAGGGAGAGAGAGACAGAAACATCAATGATGAGAGAGAATCATTGAAGGGCTGCCTCCTGCATGGCCCTCTACTGGGGATCAAGCCCACAACCCAGATCTGTGCCCTGACTGGGAATCGAGCTGTGACCTGGTTCATAGGTTGATGCTCAACCACTGAGCCACACCGACCAGGCGAGGCTATCAGCTTTTAACAAACAAAAGGACCCTGAAGATTTCAGTACACATTTCTTTTTTCTTTCAGTACATTTTTGTCCCAAAGACCCAAGACGATAATATTCTCCTTGGTAGGTAAAGGTGAGGGGCAGAGGGGACAGGAGCTGCATTTTACAACAACAATGACCACTGTTATGAACACTTCATATTAACCTCGTTGTCTCTCATCTTCACAACGGCCTTACACAGAAGCATCACCATCCCCCTTTTACACATGGAAAAATGGAGGCCAACGACAATAAGTATCCTGCTCAACATCATATAGCGAGCATACGGTAGAGACCGCTTTGGGCCCAAGTCTGAGGGAAACGCGGTGAATTATGGGGTGTAGGCCGTGGTCTGTATGTCTGACGTTGGATGAGGGTACCCTGAGCTCTGACTCTTTCAGGAGGGGCCTCTGGAGACTCGTCTGGGTGATGAGAAGATGCCAAGACTTCGACTGAGGCTGCCTTCCTCTGCCTCCTCTCTCACCCTGAGCCCCTACCAGCCGTCACGGCCCCTCTGATTTGGAGTGGGGTGGGGGTACTTTACAACAGCCCAGCGAGGGAAATGGCATGACCCCCACTTGACAGAAAAGGCAGACAGATCCAGGGGATGGCAAACCTGCTGGTGGTCCCAGCGCTGGGGGAGGCAGACCCTGGACCAGCCCCAGCCTCTTAGGCTCCTGGGCTGAGGCTGTGTCCCCACACCCCAGCTGTCTGGTGTGTCCGTGGAGGGGAGGCGGTGGGGACAGGCAGTGCTCTCCCTGCTAAGCACATTCCCTGCGCCATCCCGCTCCCACGGGCTGGATTACACGAAAAACCCAAACCTTGCATCAGCCAGGCAGGCCCTGGCTCCAGTAAGAGCCTCCTTCTGCTTCTCCGGGCTTTCCCCACCGTTATCTGACTCATGCCTCTGCCAGTCCCAGGAGATGAGAGGAGGCCTCTGATCCCCATGCACAGATGGAGAGACTGAGGCAGGAAGTGAGTTACTGCAATGAGTCGGCGGCCAGAGCTGGCAGGGGCCCAGGCTGGCAGGGTGCAGGTAGAGCTGGCACCACCTGGGCAATGTCCCTGGGGTGCCCCATACTCAGCGAGAGTTTTTAATGCCACACAGTAGCCACTAAAATCAAGATTCGTGTTGAATGAATGCATGTTGCAGGCTCTGAGTGAAGAGAGAAGGGATGATAGTGCAGAAAAGATGAATATGATATAGGGAAGGGAAAAAATACCAGAAGCCCAATCTTGCCCGAATCAGAGACTCTCCGAGCCCAGCTGGGGCGTGTAGCTCACTGTTCCCCCCACGGCTGTCATTTATTGGGTCAGTCCTAGGACCACTGGGGCTTCACACTTTACAGCCGCTATCTGGTGTCAACCAATGAGAGACTATGTATTATCAGCATCCCCGTTGGACAGATGACTGACTTATCTGAGGCTCAGAGTTGAAGCAACTTCCTGCAAGGACACACAGCTCAGCCCTTGTTCCAACAGACACGGGACAACAAACCGCAGGGGCCTGCTGAGCACAGCGCTGCAAACCCAGCGGGGCAGGT